GTTCAACTGCAGCCACCCTAGGGGAGCAAAAGAACCAAAAATCTTCAGAAATATTTTTTCAGTAGCAGTAGTGCTGGAATAGACGCACTTCAGCCTCTTAAAAGTAAATTGTAGGTCAAAGTACAGCTGCAGGAGGTTGGGAGGGGAAGAGAAGCAGCTTTTTTCTTTTTGTACCACTTCATTTTGGTATGAGTGCTATCCATGTGACTTTCAGAGCTCAGTTGTCATGGGGATGGAGAGTAGCCCTTGGGGAGAAAGGGAAGATGATACTTATAGAGGATATGGGGTAAAAGGCATTAAAGCAGGTAGAAAAATAACTGTCTTGCTAGAGGGCTGACTCAAGTTTGTGGCATGATTAGATCACCGTGGCTCTCCTGTCGAGTTCTGTGTACAAGTTTGCTGTAATAGCTAGGTGGATCAAGAGATCCAAATAATTTGCATCACATTTCTTAAACCTTAGAGATTAAAGATGGAACTGACCTTTTAAGACCGTCATATCCATTCCTCCTTCTCATCCAGGGTTACTTACTACACATGACTCTCATCTGGAACTTGTTCATCCTGATTTTAAGTATTTCAGGTACCAAGGCTTCCACCACTTTTCTTGATAAATTATTTTGCAGGCTGACAGTTGTGCCTGGCAGATTGTCCTGAAATTCAGCTTAATTTTTTCACTTCCTTAATTCCTGCCTGTCCTGCTCCCTCCCCCCCTGCAGTTACACCCTCTTTTTCTGCCATAAACAACCCCCAAATGCATGTGCCTACACACCCAGGACCAGAGAGGATGGACTACTACCAATCTAAAGCATAGTTTTCAGAGCACTTTTATAAAATTGCCATATTTCTCTGCTTGTACATCTGGTGGCACTGTACACTCAGTCATCCACATACCTCCATGCCAACCATACACCAGCTGAGACTCTAGCTCTGGACTGGAAGAGAAGCTTGTATAGAACTGCTTGGTTGACTTCAACATAGTCTGAATCAGCATTTTTGGAGCTTGGTTGTCTGTTGGACTATCAGGTTTTCTGTATGCTTTTTCTTTGTCATATCCTCTTAAATTGTCACCTTGAATTTTGACATTTTAAAAAGCCTTATATATTACTAATGGTGAAACCACAGTGGTATGTGGTCAGTTTTCATTTTCTAAGTATGACAGTATGGACAGGTCAAAATTTAACAATGATGATGACTACAGTAGGGAAAATGTGCTAACTTTTAAGCACAGCTTTGCTTCTGTTCCCTTTGCATCTTGGCAAGCTAAATCATGAAGTTTCAGTGCTGCATGTAAGATCTAATTAAGGGGGGCTCTTCTGAGGAAGGATAAGGCAATACAAATAAGTTTGTTTTCACAGTTGAGAAACGTCAAATGAATGAACCTTAGCAAAGGGAGTGTTTAAGCATTAAAAAAAGTGCAATCTGACATCTGTTACAGTTGAGCACCTGTTGGGTGATGAAGTTTTTTTTCCAGGCAGAATGAACTGTTCTTAATATCCCTGTTGCAAAGTAAAAGAGATGGGGCGGGTGTCTATCCTTTCTACTTTTTCTGTGTTATCTTCCCACTACCTTGGGTTGTTTCTCTAACAATCTTCCTTTCCTCCACTCTTGACTAGATGCAGTGAAACCCGTTCAGCTTGTCAAAGAAATAAACCTGCTTGTTGTATTGCAAACAGGTTGCAACTTTACAGGAGAACTTGGGGATCTGCTGTCTTTTATTTTTCTTTACATGATTTCACAGGAGAGCCATCAGTGTCTGTGGTATTTGACCTACACCATAAAAGTCAAAGGAATAGTCAGGGTTTCCCCTGTGTATAGCTCAGTAACTAAGGCTGCTTCCTTTCAAAGGGGCAAAATTAAAACCTGAAGGGTCTGTAACTTCATATGCTAATGGTCTTGAATTACCAACAGTCACTTGCACTCATTTGGATCAAAAGTAGTTGCACTGAAATCAGTGGCCTGAAGCAGATGGAGAAACAGGATGAGAGAATAATGCCCTGAAGAATATATTCCCCATGTATAGCCACTAATAGGAATTATATCTGTTTCTGGGTAAGATAATATAATCTTTAAACCAAGGGGGAAGATATTTTCTTTTTAGGGTGTAGAGCTTTTCCCAAGTTCTTTGTTTAATCACTTTTGCTTATATTAATTTTCTGAAGAAGCACTGGCCAAATAATGTTAGCTATAGAGGCACTGGCCAAATAATGTTAACTATGTATCATGTTGCCAAAAAGGTTAAATATGTAGGCCTAGTATATGAGTTACAACACATCCATATCTCACTTTCAGACTTGTACCTTAACTGGAAAACAACTTAAAAAAACAAAAACCCATCCCCTTGCTCAACTAGCTTTTTACCTTGCCAGTGAATTGAATGCTGAAGTTCTGACTTATTATTTCTTCCTTGTTGGTTTTGTAAATTCATCTACCACCATTGCAGAGCAGTCCTAAAAAAACAAACGGCTCACATTTTACTTCTTCACTCTGAACCTAGCTAATGACTCCTTATATCATAGATTTATTATCTAGGATTGGCCTGGAGAGTTCAGGGTGTTAGAGTAGTGCTAAAACCAAAGAAACCCCTACAGTTGAGGGAGAGGTGTGTGGGAAGTGACTGGCCTCAGCACGTTTGGGGACCTTGACTGTAGACTTCATTTTTGTCTTTGGTGGTTTGTCTTTTTGTTTTGGTTTTTTTGTAAGCAGCTGTTCTAGAATAATAATGATTCCTGAATGTATCGTGCTATGCAAAACTAGACAAGCTACTTCAAACACTTGCCATAAACCCAAACTACAAATAGGATGGATGTCTCTGTGCTCAGTTGTAGAGTTCTCACAAGGCCTAAGGAAAGGGCAATGTTAGCATTCAGTTGCTTTGCTGTCCAAGTTATAATTTTGGTCCCTGGTTTTACTGCCTGTTCCTTGGGTGTGTTGGGGAGGGAATCACCTATTTCACTTGTTACACAGTCTTTCTACCTGTATGCTGCCTGGTACATCTTGTAGGGAAGATGGCTGTGCAGAGTCAAAGCTCTGACCACTCCCTTCTCAGCTCTTCAGGAAAGAGAGTTGTGGCTTGGCACAATTACCCCATGCTGTAGCTGATGTGGGGGGAGGGAGAGAAAAGTACTCACCACTTTAGGGACTCCTGGGAATGTGCTGGGAAACTCCAGGCTTGCTCTCTAGTGGGTCTGATCCAATGAAGAGTTCAGGGCTGCTGACTTCAGTAGTACTTTGAGGCAGTTGGCATCTGGCAGGATCAGTTTTGATCTTGTACCACTTCTACATCAGAGTTATCCTTTTGATTAAACATGAAGTTATTCTGGTTTGCTCATCTCTTGTTAAGACCTTGGGGCATCAACAAAAGATGCTTTTATTCAAGATTTTGATGCCCTTTTAAGGGAGTGTAAATGAACATGTTAGACCACAGTTGCTCTGTTGGCTTTTGGAGAGTTGCACCATGGGTTATATTGATCCTTTAGGTTATCTTAAAGTATTGAGACTTGATGTCCAAACTAAAATGGATTTATGTCTTAATATTCAGCTTGTAAAGGGAATGTACAGGACTTGTCTGGATTGCAGCAGTCTGTTCTTTATAGACAATGACTATGCAAAATCAAATTCAAAAGGCAGTGCTGATCACTGCTCCCACTGGGACATTCAGAAGGAGCTGAAGGGAATCAACTACCCATGTTCCACCAGCGTTCTCGTAGTGTTGTTGGGCATTTTGTGTCCTCAGGTTGCTTTGAAAATCTTGGCCATAATGACTTGTGTAAACCAGGGGACAATTGCTTTCAATGTTGTGTCTGCCAACAGTAATGCTAAAACTTTTAATTCATCCAAGGGGTATAAGAGGCGAGGTCCAATCTTCAAAGTACTTGAGTTATATAGATTTACAGTGAGATGGAGGTAGCCAAATATCTGATTCACTTCTGAAAATGAAACTTGGGCTTCTGTGTTGTATGTGTGAAAACTTACCCAAAAGCTTGTAAATGTATAAAAGACTAGATATAATGCAGGCTTGAAACTACTTGTTTTTTGTGGGGGAAAAGAGGAGCCAGGGCAGCAGGAAAAGGCAGCAGTGGCCAGTCTGAGCACCAGCCCACCTCAGACCTGAGCTAGGTCATTCTGGCCTGCCACTGGAAAACACTGTTGACAGCTGTGTTAAAGGCCTTGGACTTTTAAAAATCAGTCTAACTTTCATTTGGGGAGTACCACACCTTGCATTTTATGCAAGGACTTTGATAATCACATGATTGTAAAAATTCATGGATACATTTGAAATTAAAAACAAAGTACTTTGTTTTCAGTGCGAGGCAAGGATTTTTTTGGGTATTATCTTTTATTGGACCAGCTTTGGAGTAATCTTAGACAGGTACTTTATACCTGAAAGCTTTTCTAAGATCTCTCCCAATATGCAGGTGGTCCAATAAAAGATACTGCCCCAGACAACACTTCCCCGTCACATGTTTTTTTCAATAAAATTCTGACAACATCTGCTATTTGGTATGAAACAAGAATAATGTTAACTGTTGATAGTATGGGGGCTTACCAAAATGGTTGCTATCAAGTTACCAGATATTGCTAGATTTATAATACTGACCTTCTTTTGTAAGTTTTAAAGTTAGAAAAATCAACTGGAGACTTTCTTCTTAACCATGTAGGACATTTACAGAGGGCAACTTAGTATTTGGCTTGTGGTGTTTTTCTGAAGCTGCCTTCTGTTTTTTTGGTGATGCAGGTCCTGGCACAGAAAGTCAAGGTGCTTGACATCTAGTATGAGTGGACTTTGTGGACTCCTGCAAAGATTTCCTTTGTGAGCCTGTAGTTAGTGTTTTGTGGAGCTGTAGGTTATACTTTGTTTTAAAAAGCAAAATCCAGTTTATGGGAGTTGTGCTTGTTAATTAATCCAAATACCATTTTAAATATTTGTCTTTACAACTACATTGCATTGGAGGAGCCTAGTCTGTATGCTGAAAGGCCATCTTCTTTTCTCCCCTGCTTAGACATATGAAGATTCATGAGAAAGATCCAAACGGTGCTGCGAGTACGACTCTTCCATCTCCTCTGAAGCGCAGACGGCTGTCATCTAAAAGGAAACTTAGTCAAGAGGCTGAGACAGACAGGGAGGAACGGACCCCTGCAAAAAAGGTTCCTGCCAATGCGTGCAGCAAATGATTTCCCTGACTACCTTTTTTTCCATGTTTTGATTGCCGAGGCTCTTTCCTCTTACAATTTGCCTTTTCCATGAAAGCATCTTCCAGGCAAACATGTTCAGTTCATACTTAGGGCTTTTTAAAATTCAGATATTCTTACTGGTTTAGTTAATGTCTACTTACTAGTAAAATGAAAGAAATTCGGTATTTTACTTTCCTCTGTTTAAGTTGTTTTGGTTGTTTATTTTTTATTCTGGATAATAAAAATTGGATGGGGGAAGGGATAAAATGCTCCAGTTAGATTGAAGCTCAGTTTCTTTGGTAAGGGAAGGGGTGCACGTGGGCATGTGTGGATGTGTTAATAAGTCTAAGTTCAGATCACTAATACTTTCTTCCAACCCTAACAATAGCTTAAATTTTTTGTCCAGTTTTACTTTCAAGCTTCCCTACGTTAGTACAGGTGTGCAATATTTGAGTTGCAAAAAATTCAGGAAAATACAAACTTATTTGTAGGGGAGTTCCCATGAAATTATTTGAAAAAATATTCATTTTCCATTTTAGGTTTCATAAAAGCTGGTTTATGCAAAATTTTAAGTTTTGATGCCCTGGTTAACTTCACAGTATCCCTTTACAATCTCCAATTGGCAGGCAAGTAGCAATTCAGCATAGAGAGATTCCCATTTCTGTGTGTACTTTTCTTTCTGTAATTGGAAGATATCTATGGAAAACATGCATTATTTCACTGCTCTTCTCTGGATCACTTGAGTTAGTTGCCGTCTGTGATTCTCTGACATAAATAATTTAGGCTGACAGCCTGGTTTCCTGCAGGGGGAGGAAGAGGATAATGATGCTAGTTAAATGGTCAGCCGAGTTGAACAATCCTACACGTACACTTTTGTTCCTTATTTAGGTTTATGAATTGTTTAGTTCTAATGAGTTTGTGTGATCAATGGTGAAGTTGCTTCACCTTAGAAAGGATCAGTCCCCATTTAGCTAATGTCATGTTTATCCAGCTTCTCTCTCTCTGTCTCTGAAATGAGTTATTTTCAGTAGCTTATTAAAAAAAAAAAAAAAAAAAAAAGTCTGTGAGCTGCTACATGGTAAAGGACGGACTCTGGCTGAATTGCACGTTTGGACACATTGCTTACACTGAGTTCTTGTAACCTTTTTTTCATCTCGATGAAGGTTGTTGAGGAAGCTCAGTCCAGTGAAGTGGAGAAGAAGACTGAGGAAGAAGTTTATCATTGTCCAGTGTGTTTCAAAGAATTTGTATGCAAGTATGGGCTGGAGACCCACATGGAGACGCATCCAGATAACTCACTGAGGTAAGAAGTAGGCTAGATGTGCTTCTTAGCGCCAGATGCAATGGGGGAAGGAAAACGGGTGGATTTATACTGACTTGGTTTGTGGTGTGCAGAACAAGTTGCTTAACCTTTCTTCCTTAGAAGCCCCATCTGTAAATGAGCAGCTCACAAGGGTGCTGTGAGTCTTATTTTAACATGGCGAAAACAGCTGGTTTAAAAATAATGGGCATAGGTAATGTCAGAAAACAACGTTTTGGTGGAGAAACCTAAAACTTGAAAGATTTTGATAAGGGTACTTACAGAATAATTTAGAGATGAGAAGTGTGGTAAGGCTGGTTATAGCTAACTGGTTTATATCTGAACTCTGTTGTGGGGGAAGAAGGAGAACTGGACCTGGACATAGATAATTACAGTAGCAAGTTGTAGAGAGATGTGTTTTTTTTAAAAATAAAAAAAGTTTGGATGAAACTAGCGTTCTCTTACTTATAAGACACCACCTTAATAAAAATGTGCCATTTTTATTAAGTGTCCTGGGACTAGTTGGGAAGTACCACATTTTGGTTTAAGGAAGAAAATATTTCCAAGGAGATGGTTCTTTTTTTTTAAGATGTGATTTAATTGGTTAGAAAGGTTGTGTGCTTTGCACAGGTGGCTCCCTACCAAAAGTAGGACTCTTCCAGTAGTATGTTTCCCGTTTTCGAAATAGAATAAGGTGAATCCAGATACATAAGGATATAAATGAAACTGATTCTGACTATAGTTTAAATGCTTACACAGGGAACACCTGACATTTAAGAACAGCAGTGAATCAAACTGCTAAGCATTGGCTGCATTTTCAGCTTATATTTGGAGAATGGCTCACATATGGAAAATATGGACACCTTGGTTTGCTTGATTCTTTACTCTTCTGAATATACTTCTGTTTTTGACAATTTTTTTTCCCTAATGGTTAGTATGCAGCAGGGTTGGAATAAACCTTTTTGTTAAGACATTGATAATTATTTCTAAGAACCTTTAAAGAAGCCTCAATCTTTTTAATTATTGGGCATTTTTTAACTTAATCCATCAAAAGAGTGTATTTGTTCTTTAAACATAATTTAGTACTCCTTAATAAATCACATATATATTCTAAATGTGGTGCAAAATAGCTGAAGTTCTTTCTTTTAGTATTATACATATTTCCCTCCTTCCTCCCCCCCTACAAATACACACTCACAGCATAAGGAATGCTGAGAAAAGCTCTTCATAGAATACATTCAACTGAGCACATCAAATTCATCATGTCTTTGAGGCCTCCATCCTAGCATTTCAATGGAGATGTAGCATCATCCTGAGCCTGTATTCAGTGAAACTGAGAAGCTGTGTGAATTCTCTTGCTTCAGAGGATGGATCAAAGGAAGAAGCTCAGCCAGCCCTCAGGCCTGGCAGCAATGTAATCCGCTGCTGGGCACAGAGAGAGTTTCCCTGTAGTGTGGCAGAAGGAAGGCCATTGATAAAATTCTTATTCCTGCACTGGGAAAACCAGTTTTTTTTTTAAATGGCTCCTGCTAGCAGAGTTGTCATGGCCAGCAAGAACTGAAACAGTCTCATGAATGTTAGGTGTGGTAACTTGGCTCTGTGAGCACAGAGGGAGTACACTTGGTGAAAGACTTTATAGGCTTGTCTCACTTAGGATGAAAAGCATATTTGTAAAATGTTTACTTTAGCATTTAGAACTTCATAGTTAAGACGGTGGCTCCTCTGGATTAGCTCACATGTTGAAATGCATCCGTCTTGCCTGACTCAGTGTATATTTTAAATTATATTGGCTAATATGGTGTAGAAATGTACCTTCCATCCTAGGCTACGCATTGCCGTTGGCTGTGTGAACAAGGCAAGGTAGGTAGGAGTTGTCACAAGAACTGCAAGCATTGGGAGGTCAAGTGGAGGCTCAGGACCACCACAGGTTACCTCAACAGAATACACTTTACATACTGGGCTCTATTTGTCCTAAAGGTTGTTTCCACTGACACCGGAGAAGGATTGGTCTTGGTGATCTTTTTGAGAGGGATAGCAGATAGAGGAAAGAATTTTCTTCAGAGAGGATGGGTTGATATAGGTAGTTGTGATTCTGGTGGGGAAATAAACCATGTAAAATATTAGAAAGCTTTCCTCGAATTAGTGTTTTTTTTCATTTTAGAAAAACAAGGGTAAGGACTCCCCTAAAAAGAACTGAAAGGACTGTCACACCAGCTTTTGTCACTACAGGGTGGGGAGCAGGATATTAGGGTTTTTGGGTCAGAGTGGGAAAGCAGAAATTCTTGAATTAGGCCTTGTCTCTCTTGGAGGATTGCCCTGGTCCAGCAGTCACAGTCTACCCACCAGGATAGCCATACCATTGCAAACCACTTGTCTCTTCCTTGCCTTCTATTTTGCACAAAGACAAATGTGTCTCATCCTTCCTGAAACCAAAGGCAGCTTGAACAGCATAAGGCGCCTGGCAGAAGTTACACTTAAGATGCAATTAATCTGTTAATCGTATCTTAAATAGTAACTGGCTGCATTTTCAGGGAATTTATGGTGCCATAAAAAGGGAACTCCATAAAAAGGGAAATATTTTTGTGGATTGTTTCCGTTGTGCTTTAAATTGAATGTGTGGCAGGATTAAGACCACACTGGGGTCTCCATCTGGCCCCAGTGTGGTTTCCAGAGCCAGATGACAATCACCTGATCACTGGCCAGCTCCAGGGTCCTCACTGGAGCCATTTTGAGCCCTGGTGCAGTCCCAGTCCAGCTGATGGTCAGGTGGTTGATTCTGGGGACCATACCAAGCCCTGTTGTGGTCATGGAGGCAGCTGAGAGGTGATCATCAGGTGCCCAGCTCTCAACTTGAAGGTTCAGGAGGAGCCCAGAATCATGGTCTGCACTGGCAAGTAGGACACAATTGGGATTTGATCCCCAATTTCCCCAGATTGTGCATCTTGCCCTGCATGTGTTGCGCAGCAGGAGGCAGAATTGTTGGGATCCAGGATCAAATTCCATTGCAACTTTAAAAGGCCGTCTCAGTGGCTTAAACTGTGGCGTCCTTATCTACACTTGAGATTTACTCAGGGGCAGCTGATTTTTATTTCAGAGCATGTGTTTATTGTAGCATAGACCATACTTTTTCTTGCACACATATGTATAATACAAGTAGTATGTGGCCTTGCCATTGCTTGAATAAGAGCCCTTTCCCCAGTTGGAAGCTTATGCAGAGGCATCTGCATTAATAGGCTAAACATTGCTTGGCTTTTTTTTTATTACCGTCATTTAGATTTGTCACTTGGCAGAAAACATTTCCCTGCGAACAGATCCTATACCACAAAACAGAAAGGAAGTTTTTGGGTTTTGTTTCTAATGCCAAAAACTAGGACAGGTAACACTGCCCCCAGCCACTCCCAGCTTTTTGGCCCTCATGCAGGAAGCTGTAATTTACAGGGTGGGCCTTGAGGCTTTCCAGTATTGTCAAAAGAACAGCTTTAAATCACAGGGTTCCTTCTTCGAAGTGAAAGAAAAAGCCATACTGCATGTCTCCCTGACGGCTGCTTTTTTTATGCAAAGCTCAGAGCTGGGAGCACCTCATTGTTTACTTACAGCAGAATAAACAATACTTAATCCATTGACTGTGTGAGAGGGGGCTCCCTTTTAGGAGAGTGTCTTTTGATTATGTAAAATCTCAAATTGTGTATCTTTGTCTGCTAATTATGGTAAGAACTACTCAACTCTAGGGGCCATAATAGAGACCTTTGTTATGCTAACAATTGGCTGAGGTACTGTATCTCCTTCATGGAATTAACCCCTCTGGTTAGGCTTTCATCCCATTGAAGCCACACCCTCATTAGCAACATTAGCTAGATAGAGCAAGGTTGTCTGGCTGATGTCTCCCAGTGGCCATTATCAGTGGGAGGTGGCACAACAGTGCTCTTTTTATCCCCTTCCTTCCCACCCCCTCACTTGGATTATTTAAGGAGGACAGCCACTTCCCTGCAGCCTGGGCCAACAGCAGGGCTCCATCTATTTTGGTGAGCTTGTATCAAAGTGCTGATATAATTAGCAGAGCTGAGAAATGCTGCTCAGCCAATTGAGAAGATGAGAAACCTCACACAGTGGGTTCCTTCTCTGCAAACTTCAGTGCCGCCTCCTCAAACATGGCAATGCCTGGAAATGTCACCTGATAGAAGACTTGCAACTGCATCAGCAGCACCAGGGATCTAGACATAAGGATTTCCTGAAGAGAAACCTCAAGAAGCAGTGTGTGAGGTTTCTGTTGGCAAGTACAATGGAACAGGCTTACTGTAAAAATGCCTGGCTTCTTAAAAGTATGTATACCATAAAACCCCTTGCTAGGTTTCACTGTAACCAAAGCATATCCTTCATATTTTGTACCCCTATAGCTGCCTTCGGTATTCACTTTACCAATGGTTTAAGGGGTTCATAATTTTTCTTCCAACTTCAGGGGGACTTTTTGTTTTCTTGCCCCAATTTTATTTGGATAGTGGGGATGTGGGAGAAGCTAAATAATCTTGCAGTTCAGCACTTACTAGCTATTGAGAGTATTCTAGACACTTTTTAAATAGATGATTTTTTACGGCTAGCAACACATGACCAACTAATAAAGCTTCAAATGTTTGCCTTTTAGTGAGTGCCGGGTCTTTCTGTCGTGTTAAACTAATTTGGTTATGCAAAAGACATTTCTTTGGCTCATTCACAGTGTCTTTAATTACACAGGCACAACATTTTTTTTTTTTTTTTATAGAACCCAAGAACCTGAAAACAAAACCCACAGAAATCTGACCATGTTGAGCTTGACTCTTCCACGAGCCATTGGTAGGACTGGAAGCTTTAGATCTACTCTAAAGAAATCTATCGGTGACCTAGGGAAGAAATGGTAGTAAGAGGAGGCTCTTCTCCTGCCATAGCTGCAGTTCCTTGTCTTTCTGGCCTTATGACTCAACTTCTAGTGCATTTCTAATTCCATATACATGTGTATGTACACTCACACT